GCTTACATCAACACGTAGGCAAATATGACCTGCAAGGATTGTTAGGGTATATATATTGCTTTTTTTTAATGTTGTATTTTCATTGCATTTTCGTAGTATTTTCCACAAAAACGACTGGCAAGCGCCCCATTCACAAAGTTCACGTCTCAGTCCTGGGAAAACCTTCCCACCAGAACCTGCGCCAAGGCCTGTTCAGGTGTGGTGTGAAGGTCCTTTGGGTGTATTTGGCATCGGATGGCAGCTGACCCTAACGTTAGCAACATAAAAGGGTAGGGACACAGGATCAATCAGCTACATAAAAAGGAGCCGATACATAACCCCAATGTCTATAATACATAATGCACAAGCCGGGTCATTAAACCGCCCCAGCCCCCCACGTTGAAGGTCAACATTCATGAGTAGGAGGAGGAGGAGGAGGAGTAGTATAGTAGCAGGAGTAGGAGTAGGAGTAGGAGGTAGGAGGTAGGAGGCAGGAGGTAGGAGGTAGGAGGTAGGAGGTAGGAGTAGTAGTAGTAGTAGTAGGAGTAGCAGAAGCAGTAGTAGCAGCAGCAGCAACAGCAGCAGGAGTAGCAGCAAGAGCAGTAGCACAGTAGTCGTAACAAGGTTCAGCAAACACAAACAAAAAGGCCCAGGGATAGAAGTAGAAGTAGTAGTAGTAGTAGTAGTAGTAGTAGTAGTAGTAGTAGTAGTAGTAGTAGGGGTAGGGGTAGCAGTAGCAGTAGCAGTAGCACTAGCAGTGGCAGTAGCAGTAGAGCACTAGCAGTAGCAGTATCAGTAGTAGTGGTGGTGGTAGTAGTAGCAGCAGCAGTAGTAGTAGTAGTAGTAAATTAACCTGATTGTGGGGCTAGCACCCAACAACCTTATTCAGGTGGAAATTCGCCGCCTAAGAATACTTTTTAATTTGGTTGAATTGTCAGGGCTATGTGGGTTCAATTGGACTAGGGTAGGTATTTAATCCTATGTTTGCATTACAAGTTGGAAGTGCATCTGGTACATTATAAAAGTGCCTCAGATACATTCAGTATGCAAGCCGTATGCTTAGTATGGGGCTCTAACCATCTCTAACCTGCAGATTGTTGAGAATGCGACCTGCTGCTGCCCTATAGTTCCATCAAAAAGGCTTTGAATGGGGTTGAATATGTAAATGTTATTTCTTCCCAGCAAAACGGCCCAGCCTTTGCCCCATTCATACGACTATGGACACGATCCTTGGGTTAGTAGCAAACTGCATCACCCCTTCTCACACACACACAGAGATCTAGTCCCTGGACCCTGCAAGCGCGGAGCGCATCGCACATTCGCTGCGCAGCGGGTTACAGCCCATGGTGCCACGGGAGATAAGAGGAAACCCGTCGAGCAGGGTGGCCAAGCTCCGAAAGATTCTTGAGTTCCAATTGAGCTCTCCAAAATCACATGCGCGATTAAACCAACCCCTATGTCGTATAACTTTCTTACACTCCTGCTTACCACAAGGTTTCTTGCGGCGCTCAATTGCTGACATGGCTTTCTCAGCCCACAAACCAGACTCCAGACTGCCAGTAGCAAGCATTATAAGTATTAGATCTAGATATATCTGATATCTAGAACATCAACCACCGGCAGCACCAAATCCTTCACACTCCCCCAAATTGACGCAGCTCAGGAATCTGGGAGTTCTCATTTTCCCACGCCTGAAGTGAACCGGGCAATGGTTCTTATCGGGATGGCGCAGGCTGTAATGAGAGGCTTCTCCATCATCGGAGACCCGAAACGAATCCCAATCGATGCACGAATCACTCCAACCGTCGACGTTCTCTTTCGACTGGCGAACACACGACGTCCATCTTAAGTTAGGAAAACAAAACCAACAGATTTGCTACTCACTGTAAACCTGTGCTCGAATGAACCCTTTCTTTGCTCCAAGCCATGAAATTCAAGCCAACAAGGAGGAAAACTTCAAGTCTCTCATGTAAGGTCTCAGCATCTCCTTTAGCTGGTGCGAGAAGACCAGACAAGCATCCAGCCTGGTTGGGGTCCATCTTGTGATACTCGAAGGGCCTAGCGAAGGGAGACGCAGCAAAACATGGATTGTCTTCCGTCAATCAAATCTGTTGACTTTTTTCTATATACAGTAAACATTAAAAATATATGAGTCTCCTAAATTGGAGCCTCCCGGAGGCCGAACTCGACCTGAACCCATGCTCATACTGTTCAGATGGGTTTAGGTACTGTACCTCCAGTACTTCATGCAGCAGGACATCCGAGCAGGACATCCGAGCAACGGATGGTGGCCGACCGTGATTGAAATGCGCGGCGGTGCCCCAAAAAGTCTTTGGACTTCTATGGGGATGTATACCTGCACCTTCCAAGCATGCATAATTGAGTCTTTCCAATGGAAAGTACTTTTCCAAAACAGCGGCACTTCTTGAGATCAACGACACTTTTTGTGTTTTCATGGTTTTCAAGGATTTTGAGAGTTTCTTCCAGCAGGGTGATCACAGTGTCCTTTCCCAGGCCATGTGTTGATGGCTTATGTCACATTGAAACTAAGTGCTACAGCACCAGGAGTTTCAAGAGACTCCAGCAAAAGAAGCTCTTGCCTCGGAGAAGGTGGTTGGGGTGGGCTTGGGGGTTCTAACCACCTTCTGAGGATATGGTTGGAGCCCCATAGGGATATTTTAAGTGTTAGGGAGCGTCAGCAGAAAGGATCACCGACTGGGCCGACTAAGGAGGTCGACCAAGTCGGACATTCCCCAAACGCACTCCAAACAGGATACGACATTCTGCAATCTTGATTACCATTGATTTGTTTCAAAAATATGTACGTTTCATGATTGCCATTGTTGATTGTCATGATTACCGTTGATATCCATTGATCCCCGCAGCTCAATTCCCAAACCTCACAACCATGTTCGATCATCTCTAGCTCCAGGCGCCAACCACTTCCACTATAGACCAAGCACCCCACATGTTTGTTGAAACGCACCGCACCCGCGAAGGTGCTTAGCCGGACGGGTCCGCCACTCGGTTCCCGAACTCGTCACCCACCGAGGTCGCCACCAGTCCGGAGATCCTCGTCACCGAGTGGTTGCCCAAACAGCTCGAGCTGTTCGTCTGCGCTGTTCAGGAGATGTCCCGCGCCGTTCGTCCGTTGGAGGACCGCCGTTCACGGCCTCAGCTCGAAGATGTGCAACTCTTCGATGGAGCTCACGCGCGCGGCTTCGATCAGCGCCTAGGCGCAGCTGAGCCGCTGAGCATTGCGGAGCTTCCGAGCTGAGGAGCTGTTTGGAAAGAACTGCAGTTTACATCAGTTTACAGATCTAGATGTCGTGATAGAATGCACATGTCAGCCACTAAGACCTGTCTGATCCTGTTGACATGCTTGTTCTTGTGGTTCAGACGTCGTGTTGAAAGACGACGCAGCGCCGTCCGGTCCCTCGCCCGTCCCACCTTGGTGCCCTCATCACCCATGCTGTTGCCGCGAACATCGAGCTTCCTGCCGTGGCAGGGCCGCACGCGGTGTGAAAACACGTGGGGCCGCAAGCTACACGCAAAACGTACCCATCTAGATCCTAGATCACAAAGGCCAGGCCACAAATGTGTGTGCAATCTCCCACTCATTTCCTCACTGATCTCCTACTTCTGGGTAAAAATTGGGGGATCCTCGCCAACTTGCCTACCACAGCGGGAGCAACCCCATGCTGTGTCTGTTTCACCCATACATTCCCACCTGGGTGATGTGAACTCTGCATTATTCCACCAGTCCGGACCCTTTCGCCCTGCCGCATGCCTCAACACGCGGTTCTTCCGCAGGGTCTCCGCGAGGCACCGCGCACCGGACTCATCCAGCGCACGGACTGCGCGCAAGGTGAGCTCACGCAGGGTGACGTTCAACTGCATCGCTTCAGTGATGGCCTGACATCGCGTGCAGTGCCCGAAGCATGACCTTGGGCATCTGATGATGGCCTAGCGGATCTGCACGGTTTGGGGAAAACACAACATGGGGATCTCCGGTATCTGCATGGTTTGGGGATGTCGTGTTTTGGTCTTCTAAACCATCCCTATATATTGGCTTTTGGAACCTCTCTATAGGCTACAGGCTACCCTCTTAGCAAGCGAAACATGTTGGTACCTTCTTGGAGCCAGGTCGAGGAGGTGGCAAGCTCATCACCCAACCTCCGAGGATAAACGAAGCCGAAAGGAAAGGGCCGAGAAGACAGTCCTATCAATCTCTATCGATGAGTTATCTTCAACGGGGGCCTGGGGCTGTACCTGCGCCAAACACCATTTAAGCCCTGCGAACACCTATCCGGGTCAGCGATTGACCAGTGTGGTCTTATTGTTTGTTTGGAACGATCAGTCATATGATTTGACATCCCGTGGAGGACTCTTGTTTCTGGTGCCGGTCTCTGATATTTAACTTGACCCGCCAAATCAATCGCACGAAAAAAACATGTCAGATCGTAGTCGCATCGCTCAAACAAACAACGACATCAATCAAACATAATGACACCAACTGACCTTCTATAGGGTCCCTGCTGCACCGTGTATGACCCGTCATCCCTGTGAAATATGGGAAGAAACATGGAGAAGCTCTCCACTCGAAAATGCACCAGGTCGAGGTCGCTGCTGCCAAAAAGAACACCACCAAATCACCCCACCTCTTCCTCCCTCCTCATTTTGCTTCAGAAACGGACCACAGTTCTACCTCTCATTTTGGCGATGCCTGAAGGCCCTCCAGCCCCAGGTCGTCGTTCTGCGACAAGTCCACTCGCATCACCGAGGCGGAACATCCCAAGCGCAGCCCCACCGCCACCACCTGACGCCGCGCCAAAGCCGTTCGTCCACTGACGCTGGGAACGTCCGGGACCGGGACCAGGAACTCGGGTCCGGAAGTGCTCGGGAGCGGAGGCAAAAAACGGTCCTCGGAGGTGTTGTTTTGTGTGTTGATTTTGTAATTCTCGTGGGGGGGTTGGGGGTGGTGGTTTTCCCTATGTGACAGTTGGACAGACTGCCCCAGACAGACTGTCGTGGATTTGTCAACCTTGTTTGCAACTGAGAGTTATGGGTTCATACGGGTTCCAATAGGACTTTGCATTGTGTTGGTAAAGCTTACAAGTCAGACGCTCCCTGCGGCTCTCGACATCAACAAACAACATAAGTTATGTGGGCAAAGTGGCAAACACAAGATCTGGTTAAATCGATAATTTTATCCTCAACATCATCATTGTAAGATGTAGGGTTTCCAGAAACTTTATCTCGCATGTGCCCACACAAAGATTCTAGGAAAGACTGCCTTGATGGACTGGAATACAAGAGGACGTTCCGAAATGAAAAACACATCTTGTTGCCTGGAGAGCTGTTCCGAACTGCCAGAATAACATGAAACGATGAAGGCCATGACTGTCGCGGCTTGAATCAAATGCTCGAAAACACTCCCACCATCAGGCCATATCAGGGCATAGATCAGATCAGGCCTATATAATTAACGCATATAATTATATGCTAATCCGCTTGCAACTGGATGTTATCTGGTTTGCAACCAGGTGTGGACATGAGAGGTTCAAGTAAGCAAGATTCAGGCCACTTCAAGATTCAATACACTGACACACACACATACACACACAC